TGCCAGACTCTGTACCCTGTGAGTGTACAAAGATGGAAAGATAGGCCCCCTGCCTCTGGAGAGGGAAATGGCCAAGGAAACTGACACTCTATGCCTTTAGTAGCTGTTGTTCTGAGATCCCACTGTAGGGCTATCACCAGCCCTTGGTTACTCCCTGGTAGGACTGCTGCTTTCACTGGACCCTGAACCTTGGCTCAGGGGCTTCCCCCCCAAAACAGTCAAGGGACTTGCCCAGATGTGACAGTTTTCAGCTGCAGGCACCCCATTGTCCATCTTTCAGAAAAGGCTCTAGGGATGCCACCTGGAGGCCTGCTTTATTCCTTCCTCCTGGCCCCTGGCTCACCTCACCTGGAGCTTCTTGTCTGTCCACAGGCTACTGGGAGGTGAATGGATTTGGACTGCTTGGCATCTTCAAGTCAGACCTAGACAGGATCGGGGGCATGAACACCAAGGAGTTCCGAGACCGCTGGGGTGGGGAAGACTGGGAGCTGCTGGACAGGTGACTGGGAAAGGGGGGCATCTGAGGGATCTGATCAGGAGAGGGAACAGGGCGAGAACATCCTAGACCCGTCCCCTAGGCTGCAGACTCCCCACAAGCAGGTGAGGGCACTGTACTTGGAGGAAGCGGCACCACTTACTGGGCTCCAATTACTTCCCTTGCTGAGACTCAGTTTCTCTGCCTGTGAAAAGAGAGGATACTGCTTCTGTCTCTTTCACAGGGCTGGCATGGAAAGTGCTTGGTAAACTGTCAGGGGATAAGAAAACGGATCTGTCCCAGTGTAAATGATAATGTTCTGAGCAGCAAGTAAGTTGCAGTGGGAGCACATGGCTGCATCCTCCAGGTTGGAGCTCCCCTTCCCTCCCAGCTGTCTGGGGAAGGAAGATGAAGTTGTGGGATAGATAAAAGAGACAGGCCAAAGGGTCAGGGAAGACTTTGGAGCCAGCAAAAGAGGTCGTGTGGACCATTAAAGGGCAACAAGCTCTCCAGGAGGTCTGGGTCCCTGGGGAGAAGGGAGTTTCAGGGAGCAGGAAAGAGTCACTGGTATGAAAAGCCTCAGAGAAGGACACAGCAGGGAGCTGGCTGGGTTGGGACCCCAGGTCATAAGGGACTGTGGACTGCATGGTGAGGACGCGGAGGCTGTGTTAGGATGAGATTCTTCTTTCAAGAAATTTGCTGCCAACAGAAGGGAAGGGAAAAAGGATGATACTTGGAGAGTTGAGCTTAAGGGGTGGGGGCAAAGGAGAGAGGAGGAAAATCCAAGAAAGAAAGGGTGTAATTGCTGGAACAGTGTCCAGGGGAGGTGGACAGGGCGAGGTCAGGAGCACCGGGGCAGTGGGGACCTTGGCAAGGAAGAGATACGCTTCTTCCTGAGAGACAGGGCAAGAAGCAGCCACCTGTCATTGGGAGTCTATACTGGCAGGTGATTCACATCCCTTCCCTCATTTAATTCTCCCCACACCTCTGTGAGGCAGGTGTAATCATCTCCATTTCCAGATGAAAAAACTGCATCTTAAGAAGTTAATAACTTGCCCCAAATCTTGCAACTATTAAGTGCCAGAGGCTTAAATACTGGAAGTGTTTAGGCATTTTCCCTAGAGGGAAGAAAGGAAAGGAAGTGACAGTTCTACTAAGAGAATTTAAGGTGCAAAGGAGGGAGGCTGAGGGAGCTTGTATGGGATAGCCCAGCTTTCGTAAAGCCAGATCCAAGTAGATTCCCAAAGTGGACAGAAGCCTGGGCTAGTGGTCACCTCCACCCCCATCTTCCTGCCCTTCTGGGAAGATGCAGCCCTCTGGTTCAGTTCTCAACCCTCCTGCCTCTGCAGAGGCCCAAGGAGAAAGAAACTGCTTCACATTCCAGTAACTTCCCCGCATGCCCGGAGTACATGCCTCTGTGGAGGGACTCCCAGTGGGCTGTGCATTAGACAGGGGAGGGCTAGGGGCGAGGTGTGCTCCAGCCTCTGCCTGTCAAACACTGTGACATGTGCCCTGCTGGCTGAGTGCTAGGAACTGGGCCGAGCACCTACGCCCACCTGCTGTAGCCTTTACTCCCACCCTCCAGTGTGTGTGTCGTTGTCCTCTTTCTGGATTAGCAGACAGGCCCTGAGAGGTGACGTGACTCATGGGGTATGGAGCTGGGATTCAGACTCAGGCTGGCTCCAGAGCCCACACTCTGCACTACCCCCTGCTCCTGCCCTGTGGAGGGCCAAGCAGGAAGCAGGCACCGGGTCTGCTGTATGCGGAGCGGCTGCCTCCTGTGCCTCTGTGGCTGACCCTGCCCTCCCCCACTCAGGATCCTCCAAGCAGGCCTGGAAGTGGAGCGTCTCTCCCTCAGGAATTTCTTCCATCACTTCCATTCCAAGCGAGGCATGTGGAACCGCCGCCAGATGAAGATGCTGTAACCCCGAGGGGTGGCCCGCTGGACCGACCACTTCCTGCTCCTTGGCTTGCGGCTGCTCCCCCAGCACCCTGCTGACTGCTGGGGGGAGCGAGGTGGGGAGCAGAAGCCATGGCTGGGCCCCAGAGGCCTCAGCACTAACACCCCCACTCCACCAGGAGCTGTCCCCTCACAGATAGCTGCCAAGGCCCCTCCCTCCATCCTCTGGGCCGCCAGGTGGAGGACTTCGGGAAGGGCGGCCTGAGGGGCTGCTCGCTCACCATCACAGAGGTGGAACAGCTCCTGGGAGGCTGCGCAGTTAGGTCAGGGAGGGGAACACCGGCCTGAGTGACACCATCCTAAAGCCTCAAGGTGCGTGCCATCATCCACCCCGTGTTCCTTACAGGAGCAGTGACCAGGAAACTCTTCTATTGGACATATTTTATTGTTTTGTTTTTTCAATCAGAAAAGCAAAACTGTAACTGTCCAGACCCAGCATTGACCCTACATGAGGGGGATGGAGTAGTGCCTTTAGGGCGTGTCCCCACTTGCATACCTCAGACCCACTCCTGTGTAGAGCTGTGTCCCTCGGTCTGTGACCCGGCAGCTGATATATAACCAGAGGAGCTGGCCCCACGGGAAGCACTTCCTCCGCTCTACCCCAGGCTCGTGCCTTCCAGAGACACGCACATCTCTCCCAGGTAGTCACTGAACAGCTCGCCACCAGTTAGGGCATTAACCTTACCCTCCATGTGGCGCTAACTTCAGACCCATCAGAAGCACAGAACTGGCACCCTCTTCCTGGTGCCACAGGGGGGTTGGGAGACAAAGTGGTGGGCAGTGGGCTCATCCCCGGTGTTTGGCATGTAGGCCAAGCAGGACAGGCAAGATGGAAGGGGCAGGGAGGAAAGGGGATGTGGGTGTAAGTAACCCATGACTTAGATGAGAGGAGGGGGTTGGAGTCTAGCAGGAAGGGATGAAAAGGGAAGTGGAAAGTGGTGAGTCCTCGCAGCCCAGCTCCCCCAGACGTGCCCTCCTGCAGGGAGAGCCCCGGGTGGCCTTGAGTGGAAGAGGAAGGGGTGGGGGTGAAACTGAACCATAAAACAGGGACCAGGGTAGGAAGTGGCAGGGCGACAGGTTTGGGGAGGTGAGGGCATGGGTCTGAGATCTCTTCCCCAAGTGGAAGGGAGCAGGGGCCAGGAGGAAGTGAAAAGTGAAGCCAGTTCAGGGAAAATAGCCCTTGGCCTCTGTAGCCTAGGCCACCCTTTCTGTCACCTGATGGTCACGCACTTATCTTGCACTAAGGATCCCCAGGTGCCTTTGTGGTGGGGATTTTTCTACTGCTGCTGCCTCTGCCGCTGCTGCTGAATTCACCGATGGTGCATTGGACACTGGATCCTGAGCTCCAGTGGCTGTTTAGGGAGGCGAGCACGGGGCTCCCTGCTGTGAGGAAGGGCTTATGGGGGTGCAGCGGGGCCCTGAGGACAGTCAGCCAACCCAAGCTCCATGCTGTGACAGTCCAAGGCACAGCCTTTGAAGGGCCTACCTACTGGGCCCTGTATTCACCAAGAGCATAAACTTGGCCTAGGGGAGAATGGAGCCTGTTAGAACCCTTGAGCTCGAAGAGCATCCTTTCCTCTGTCTTAAGAAATCACAAAAGACAAGGACTTTTCAGTGACTCTGTGGCCTATGGATGCCCATGTCCGTATCTACCCCCTGGGCTGTAGCTCTTTAGGGTCCCTGCTCTAGCTCACTGCCTTTGGGAAAGGTCTGTAGGGAGTAGGCAAGAGCCACAGTTGGCCGGCTGCGGTGCTAGGTTTCTTTCTGGGGCCACTCGTCACTGGGCATTCACTGGGAGGCTGAGCCAGTCCAAAGGACCCTCCTTATTCACTTCTCCTGATAGCAGGAGCCAGCCCAGCCTCCCTTGCCCTGCCCACCACCCCCTCTTGCCCTGGCTAGTGCCTTGTGTTTGTTACCTCCACACCATCTGCCTTAAGGGGGAGAACCTGGCAAGGAGTCCTACTCTGTAGGGAAATGTCTAGGGTGGGGGAGGGACTGGGATGGTGGGAGGGGAAGCATTAAATACAGCATCTTTGTAGAAAACAGAATGGCTCTTGCATTTTCCTGTTGCCCATCATGGTGGGAGAGGGTTGGGCTGGGAGCCCCAGGGTTCCCATCTCTGTCCTTTGGCCATCAGGCATGTGAAGGACATGCCAAAGACCCTTCCACACCACCTTCCACCCATTACCATTTGTTTGGTGCCTGCTGTGGGGCAGCCTTCTCTGCGCTGTGGTTTACTCAGAAAGAGGATAACACTGGTCCTGTATGAGGAGCTCACAGTCTGAGAGTTAGACCAGGCATTTTCTGTTCCGCAGATTAATGGAGTTGGTGGTTTCCCTGAAGCGAGGCTGGTGGACGCCCTGGGTGAATGAGGCTAGAAATAGGGCCAGAATCGTCTCGGTGAACAGTAGAGAGGAGCTGAGGTGTGGCTTATTCTAAAATAGCAGACAGTCTAAAAACCTTTTCTGCTTCAGCTGGGGATGCCCTGTTGATGCTTTACAGGTACAGACTGACCCCCCCAATTATATTTGGCATAAACATAAATCAAAATAGTTTATGTTTCTCAAACACATGCCTAAGACAAGGCGCTAACATGAAAGCTCAGACAGGCTTATGGGAGGTTTTGAAGAGTGTGCGGACACACATCAGTCTAGAACTGACAAATCTGCCATTGGTGTAGCAGATGGTAATTGGCCCAAGGCATGTGGGGCCTGAGAAGTTGACTCAGAGAACAACCCAGAGGAGAGGGAGTGATGTAAAAGCCTTTTCTCCTTCCAGGCTTGGAGTTTGCTGCTTTGAGCCCTTGCCAGGACACAGATGGAGAGGGCAGCTTAGATGCAACTAAAGACATAAAGGTTGACTTCAGTGGATTTGCAGATCCCTTTATAGATAGAAATCATTCCATTTTACCTGGGAAAATAGGCCTGGGGATGGATGGGGCAAAGGGAAGGAATGGAGTAGAGTCAGAACGAGAGCCCTTAAGCTGGTGGACTTGGCCTTAAGTTGACATGCGTCAGGTGCAGGTGCTGCCAAGAGGAAAGGTTGGCACTACCCCAGTCTGAGCTCAGGACTCTAGACTAAGATGGAATTCACTTAGACCAGTAAAATATCCCATCTTCACTCGGGTGCTGTAGTAGGAAGCAGGCATCTACATTGCCCTTTCAGGAGCTCCCAGGAGCTGTGGAAAGTGCCCATCAGCCTGACAGGTGAGGGAGGAAAGAGGCAGGAGCAGCTCCAGATCCAGCAGCTGTGGGGGAAGCAGAGAAGAGGCATGAGGCAGTGTTCTCAGATTGCAATGTGCCCTCGATTCCCCTGGCAGCCTTTACAAGATGCAGGTGCTCACTCTGTAGAGCCAGAGTGGGCCTGAGATTCTGCATTTCCAGCAAGCTTCCAGGTGCTTTTGTTGCTGTTGGTTCATGGACCACAGTTTGAGTAGCAAGAACTGCTGGACAATGCCCAGGGGAAATCCCATATCTCCATCTTGCCAGAGGGGCAGAGCCAACCACTAACTACATTGCATCCCACCCATCTCATTCTGTGGAAAAATCTGAGCCTAAACTGAAGGAATAGCACCATTAACAGCACAAGGGACCTTTCCGAGTCCCCATCCAAACTTCTCCAAGATCCCCTCCTTGCCCCAGATCTACTCCTTTTGCTTGGAGAGCATTTCTCTCTTACCCCAAACCCCCAGAGGTGAGAAAAGGGCCACCTAGGGAGCCTTTGGGCCTGAGGACCTCCCATCTTCCCTCACCTGGGTCCCCAGCTGAGCTCAGAGAGGATTCCTTGAGGTCCTGGCTGCCAGGAACCCTGTCTTATGTGCCCCGAAGGCTGTGATGAAAATATTGATGACAACAGTGATGAAGACCAAGATGGTGGCAGCATTGTTGAGCTGGTTTAGTCGCCACTGCTTTTCTACCTCATTCAGGTTCAGCCGTGCTGTGGAGAAGTGGAGAGTGAGAGGTAAAAGTCAGGGTGGTGGCCACAGCCTGGAACTTTCCTCACAAAACCCACTGGAGTTCAGAGAAAGTCTGGCACCTCAGAGATCCATGTGACAGAAATCAAGGGAGGTGGTATCGTTGCACTAGAGCCTCTTCCCTCGTGACCAGTGTGTGGGATCCATGCTTCAGAGAATCGGGGTTTGGGAACTTACACCGGGCCTTCTGAGTGGAGATACGTTCCCACACAGAGGTGATGTGGAACTTCCCTACAAGTCAGTGAGGACACCAGCAGCGTTGTGGAGTGGCCACTGTATGAAACACCAAGAGCTAGGGCAGGGCGCTGGGCATCACTGTGTAGGTGTTACTGGGGCATTTGTAGGTGCAGAGGCCTAACTCCAGGTTAGTGTATGGCTGAGAAGTTGATATGTGCAAATGCAGGGTGGTACAGGGGGACACTTGGGGCTCATCTTCCCACTAGGGGCCACGGAGGCCAACTCCAGGTCTGGGCTCACCAATGACCATGAGGAGGATTCCGATGACGACCTGCAGGACCAGAGAGATGCTGATGAGAGTGATGAGGGTGGCATAGTATTGAGACGACGGCCCTTGCTCCAGCACCGTTTTCAGCCGCATGGCATTGGACATGAAGAGAGCCACATCCAGCATGCTCTCCGCCACGCTCTTCTTGGTGGCATAGTGATTCAGGTTGATGGGCTGGCTCCCGGTGTTGGGGTTCCCAGGCTGTAAGGGAGAAGACACAGGCTTACCTGGGAGGCTCTAGAACGGAAGCAGTTGAGGGACTGGAAAGAAGAGAGAGGTTTTAAAGCTTTCCCCTAACCAGGTGAGGGCAGGTAACACCCTCCTCAGTTTTATGGCCTAAAAGAACTCTGAAATGATGTTATGTTGTAATTTATATTTCACAATGGGTAGGGTCACCCTTCCCTCACACCACACATGCATCTGAAGAAAGCCAGGAGGAGTCTCAGCTCCTTATAAAACAGTACCTTACTCATTTTATGCTATTTTACCTGGGCCAGGCCTGGCCTAGGGTCACTCTGTTTTCCTCTTAGAGGAAAGCCTCTCAGAAAACAATAGCAGGAGGCTTGGGTGGAATAGGAAAGGCACCTCTTCTCCAAGGATGGTGTGGTATCAAGGTGGGGCGCACAGTTTAGCAAAAGGATCCTGAGCTGAGTTCAGATCCCAGTTAGCCCTCGGCACTGGCCACAGCCCTGCTCAGGCACACTAGCTGGCCCTCAAACACAGGCCAAATCAAAGCACACATCTGTATGCACTTACGTATGTTAAAATCTCTTAATTTATTTTCTGGCTGGGATTGACTGACATATAATTTACATTTGATATGATATTGAAATAGAAAACAAAGCTCGTATCCTTGAGAAGTCACTAACTCCAAAGATGGAATCACAATGCAGGCACATGGCTTGGACCTCTGGGTTGAGCCAGGAAATCCAGACTGGGTGCTGCAGGCACTGTGCAGTCACTCAGGAGAACTTGGGTACATCTTAGGGAGATTTATTTAGGAGAGGTGCTTGGGATGATTGGCCTAGGAGGGTCCAAAAGCAGGAGACCTGTTGAAAGGTATGGTATTGATTTAGGGTTAGGGTGACAAGGAACTAACCCAAGTGGAGATGAGAAAGGGGAATAAGGAAGGACTTTGAGAGACGTTAGAGCCTGGGGTAGGAAAGCGACCAGCAGATGACCGCAGCAGGATATCTGTTGAGTGGGTGGGTAACTGGATGGCTGGATGGGGTGGGTCTCTCAGGGAGAAAAGCCCTACTCCAAAATGTTGTGTATTAACAGTGGACAAAACCTTAAACCCAAATAGTGTGTGAGGGGTGGGTACTTGGGGACACAGAAATGTCCCCAAGCCTCAACAAAAAATACTATTTATAAGTTTTATGAGAACTTCTAAGCTTTTGTTATTAAATTGATCTTAGGGCCTCTCTAATTTCGATTTGTGCCAGTTCAGGATTGCTTCATAACTGAGGATGCTGCTTCAGAGTCCAACTTGGTGGTGGTTGGCTCTGCAGGACCCTTCCCCCCTCTCCGCCCAAGCTCCTGAAGGCACCAGTTTTCCAGATTGTCCACACGGTGGCGCCCAGCATCCAAAGAAGTGACCTGAGCACCCAGGCTGCCCCGCTGGCAGGATGGTGTTTCTCCCAAGAGGAATCCACTGACAGGCGGGGCTTGGTGTGAAAGCTGGACTCCTTGGAGGCCCAAGACAGGGATCTCAGTTCACAAGTTTGGATAGGCCAACCTAAAACCTACCAAACATGTGTCAAATGAGAGTTAAAGGATAAACGAGTACTGAGCTGGGGCCAGAACTAAGTGGGAAACCAGCACAACCTGCTGCAAGAGGGACTGTGGTTAGAAGGGACCTGATGGTGAGACCCTGGAAGAAGTTGCTTTGAAAGGGAGGAAAACTGTTTTCTTAATCCTTCGTGGCCAGTTTAGGTTGAGCCCTGCCCTGAGGCAGTGGGCTTGCTGAAATGACCTGAGGGTCCTCCCTTATAGCCTGATGATTCGATTGGATGAACCCCCAAATCCTACAGGGTGCCACCCTTTTTACCCACTGCCCAGAAGTTAGGAGCAACCCAACAAGGGTGAGGAGAGGACGGTGGGGGTGGCAGGCCCAGGGATGGACCAGGTGGCCCTCGGTCCTGCCTCTACGAGCTGGCCCTTTAAGGCTGGGCCCTAGCAGCTGGGAACAAAGGCCCGGGAATGTGGGCTGGGTCGGCCGAGGAGCCACCCAGCGTGAGTCATTGGTATTTCACTGGACTCGGCCCTGCTGTCTCGCCAGCTCCCTCCCCTGGCCCCAGCCCCCTCCCAGAGCTGAGGGGCAGCTCTGGAGGTGCCCGAGGTGCCTGGAGCAGCCTGCAGGCTCTCTCCGCCAGAGCTTGCTGGGGCCTCCCTCCCCTCAAACCCACTTGTCCTGCCCTAGTTCCAGGCCCCTTTCCTCTGGTTCCTCAGAGCAGGGGCTGGAGGGACAAGGACTTCTGGCTTCTGGGCCCAGCTCTGCCTCTGGGCTTGGCACTTGGGGCCTCAGTTTTCACATCTATAAAACAGGAGGAAAATCCTGCCTCTGGAGGGGTGGAGGCTATGGAGAAGCTGAATGAGACTTTGTTCTTCCCCCAAAAGAAAGACAGAACTCCAAGCTCTCCTCATTTTTTTCCATTCTGAGATATGTTTCTCAATGACCCTCTGTCTCTCAGTATATGCTGTCTTATTCCATCCCACCCCACCCAATCCCTCCACTGTTACTGGAGGACAGTAGGTGACCCCACCTGAGACTCCAGAGTCCCTATTGCAGAAAGGCAACCTATTCAAATCCTGCCAACCAATGAATGACACCTGAATACTAAGGGAGGGGGGATTTTGGTTGATACGAGGTTGGAACAAGGGCGGGTGTGGGGAGATGGGAGTAGATCCAGTGTTCCCTCCTGGAGCACATGGAGGTTCCGGGCAACAAGAGGACTTGGGTTTAGTGATGGGGTTAGGGTGATGCAAGGGGGTTAGGGACACGTCAGGCACCCTCCACCCCATTCCCAGTTTGCCCCATTCCCAGGCCTGTCCCAACACCACCATTTCCCTCCCTCTTCCTCACCCTTCCCTCTGGTTCCAGCTCAGACTTCCCTGGGTAACAGCTCTCCTGCCAAGTCCCAGCTCCCCAGGTTGGTATGGATTCCAGCTCCTGAAGTCATGGATTGCTCCATTATTCTGCCAGACGATTATTTACCCCTTAATCCTATACTATTTTTGTTTCTTTACAAAACTTGTTGGCTGGGAAGGAATGCATCTTTTAACAGAAAAGTGAACAAATTTTTACATTGTTTATTGACATTGTGGTCAATAAGGACCACAAGCTCCGAGGTATCATTGTGCATTTCTTGGAAACAAGATTTCAAAGGGGTAACTGTCCTACCAGAAGAACATGGAAACCAATGCTTGGAGTGTTTAGGACCTGGAGCCCATGGCCACAGTGAGTGAGTACCCTGTAGAGAGGATCCAGCCAAGAGACAGGGATTTGTGGCAGCCAGGAGAGTATCACAGAAGGCACCCTGGGCCCAGGTTCAAATCCTGGTTCTGCTATAAACTGGGCTCCTTTTCTTATCTGTGAGATAAGGGGGGTTGGGATAAGTGATTTCTTGGGTCATTCTAACAAAGAGTAATGTAAGGATGGGGAAGCCCCTCCTCTGAGTGGAGTATTATCAGGAGCTGAGAATATTTCTCAGAGAGAGGCAAAGGTCAGGCTGCTATAGAGCCAGGCCCAGGGGCAGATCCAGTGAGTCACTTTGCTTCAAGACATTGGTGACCCTCCAATGAGTCATTCTTGTCAGCCTCAAGAAAAGCCATGTGGCAGTCTGCCTGTGTATCAGTTCAAACTCAAGGCTACAAAGTAAGCTCAGAGGGGCAATGGCCTGTTGGCCCTCTGTTGGTCTCAAAATGACTGAGCATCCCGAAAAGCCAGGTCTCACCTGAAAAGGCTGGTTTCCCATAAAGGAAAAGGGCAGATCCAGCCCAGGAAGAGTATTGATTTGGGTGACCTACTGTGCCACTTTGCTTTTAGTTAGGTGCCTGAGATCCCTAGTCCTCTGTCAGAATTAAGTTTGAATGGGCACCTGGGTTTGTCCTACTGTGCACACATACAGTAGGCCCATAATTACAAAGTATATACCTTGTACCTGGCATAGGGTTAAAGACGGGGCAAGAGCCAGAGCCATTGTCTAGTCCTCACAACAGCCCTGTGAAGTTGGTGAGGCCATGATAATAATAGTTGAAAAAGCTCAGAGAGCCTAAGTACCTTGCCCAAGTTCACACAGCACAGTTTTTATCCCAATTCTCTGTGTGCCAAGCCTGTAATTTTAACCCTTACTCTGCTACCTCCCAGAAGCTGAAGACATACTACCTGGCTCCAAGGAGTTTAGGATCTAAAGATAAAAATCTAAAGATGAAAGAAGACAATTAAATAGTACCATAAGGATACATATATACACTTGCTAAGAGGAGGTATAATACCTCTGAGTGGAATTTGCATCAGGTTTTCCTGAATTTACAGTGGGTCAGTGCCCTTCAGCCCCTGCACTGCTGTGCCAGGAAGGGCACTATACCCAAAGTCAGAAGGCTTGGGTTCAAACTGGTAGGAGGTAACCTGGGAATACAGAGTTGAGATAAGAGAGACTTTTATCTGTATCTTGAATTTTGAACCATGTGAATGTTTGAACTCTCTTAAAAAAATAAATTTAAAACAGAAACAAATATGCGCCCCAAAAGGCCAATGGTGAAAATAAATAGGTTAAAATAAAACAGAAGTTATAACTTCATCTTGCCCAGGCCTTACCATCTCTATCTGTGAAATGGGAATAATATCTGCCCTGTTTAGCACAAAGCTCTGCTAAAGAGATCAATGAGGTAACGTGGATGAATGTGCTTTGAAAACTAAAGCATTAAATCACACTCAGGATTATACTCCCACCTGTGGGCCTAGAGGCCTTTTAAATAATACGTTCTGATTCAAGGCCTGTCCGAGCCCAAATTTTGAAGTCACCTTTTGTCTTCTCAGCAACCCCCATGGTCTCTGAAATGCCTCTTCTCTACTCCATTAGGCACCCTCTCTTCTTGCCCCCATAAATCTCACCTTCAAGCTGCACCAGGCTTGTTTCAGAGAGGAAATTCCCGGACAAGCCAGCCTACACCGGGTCTTCACGCTCTGTGCTGTGAGT